ATAATTCTAAAAAGGCCAACATTTTATCCAATTAAGACACAAAATCACATTATACTTATCTGTTGTCTATTGCAAAATTTCATTCAAAGAAACATGGAGATTATTCCTCTAGAAAACTCAAGTCTTGATGGTGATCTTGTGTCGACGGGTGAAGATCCCACAGATAATGTCAAGATGATTGACTGTGTAGAAAGTAGCTTTGAGTGGACTCAAGACAAGCCACTCTTATCAATGAAATGTTTGAAGAGTGGAGAACACATCATATTATGTAGAGGGCTGGCTATTTTTCTAATTTTATTTTATTTGATTTATGTTATGTCGTGTAGACACCTAATTGTTTTTGCTTTAATAAAGAATAATTGAGTCACTTACTTTATTTAATTAAGTTGATGTATTTTATATATTGTACTTTTATTATAATTGGATGAATTCATTTGGTTTAAATCCAAAGATTTGTGACTCATGAATTTCATACCTTCACTATTATTGTAGTTCTGATTGTAAGTTTTCTTTTGGTGCATATATCATGTAATGTTCATATGTTCCTAATTTATTAATATGTATTTCAAGATGGCAAGAACATTGCCACATCAATGGATAGACATTAAGATTGAGCATTTGATATGCTTTATGAAGAAATGATGGTCGATAGATTTCAAGTTGATACAAGTCAATTTAAGTTGGGAGCTTTCCAAAAGCTTGCTGACAAAATGAAGGACAAGCTTTCTAGATGTTGGATAAATGCAAATCATTGTAAAAACAAATACAAGCACTTAAATAAAAAATATCAATATGTTGTTGAAATGTTAAACTACAATGGGTTTGTATGGAATTCAAAAAACATTGTGTGAAAATAAACAATAGAAATGTCTTGGTGGAGTGGGTAAAGCTATGTTTATAAACTTTAATGTAAATTATATAATTAGTGTTTATATATATAGCGATTATATAATTAAATTGTTATATATTAAAAGATCACCAAACTTCCTTATTTAATGACTCAATTTTGCAGAGTCACCCCAAAAGTTTATACACTACTGACAAACCATTTCCCTTGTATGAGCATTTGCGAGACATTTTTGGAAGAGATAGGGTAATTAAATGTGATGCTATAAGTTATAATGATGCAGAGGAAGAGCTACAAGCAAGGTTGGCAATTGAAGATTACTTAGACGACCAATTTGACTTTAAGGCATCTCTAATGGAGACTAAATCTACAACCGTACCACTGTAAGCAACATCATCAGCAAGAGAATATAGCTAGAAGCATCGACAATCAATAAATGATGCAGCTCTTGATAGGTTAGCTGATAGTGTTAATGATGCAACAAAGACTCAACGAGACAAGACACAATTATAGGCATGAATTCAAAAGTTAATAATCTATGAGCAACATTGACTAATCTTGATTTCACATCAAAAGAGATCATGCAACTTGGAGTGAAGTTCATACCCAATCCAGATTTGATGTACACATTTTGGAGCATAGGTGAGCACAAAGAGGGATTCACAGGAGTTATATTGGATAACTAGATTTTAATAAGTTGTTTGTGGGGATGTGTACCCACAAGTTATTTAGATAACTAGGCTTGGTTGGTTGTATATTTAGAGTTTAGGGTTTGTTATTTTGGATAGCTAGAAATACCACGTGATTTTGGTATTAGTTATCCATAATTTGTATTCATAAAGCATTAAATATTAGAATTGCCACTAAAAGCAAACATTTATGGTTCAATAAAAAAATGGTATTCTTCTCTGTTGTTATAAATGTATATAATCTTTGAAAAGTATTCTCCTTTATTACATATTATAAATGCATTGAAAAGTATTCTTGAACATCTAGAATGAAAATGTAGAATTGAATGTATATAATGTAGGGCATAGACCAAACAATTGGCTGTTTACAATTGCTCGCACCTAATTTAACATAGTACATAACCAAAGAAACTACTTGAGCTAATACAAGTGTGTTTGACTTCATCCTCTCAAGACGCAATATTTTTTTTTTATCTTCTCATTTTTCCTTTGTGATTCTTCGATCAATATAGTTTCTTAAGAGAGTAGTGATGTCATCTCATCTGCAGTTGTTAGAACATCATATGTATCTTCATCGTTAACTCATTTAAAATGATCACACGTCTTATCTTTGTTCTGCATTGAATATGCAATGAATAAACATATTTATCACAATTGTGTATAATTAATAAATCTATTGAATTTAGAACATAAACTATCTGACTTAAAGTTTATATTGTCATTGTCTTGACTAAATAATTCTATATAAAAAATAAAATCAGGTATAGGAAAAAAAATTTATCTCAATGTACAAACAAAATCAATTACAATGCCATGCCAAACAAAGTAATGAAATCAAACAATCAAAACAGAGCTTTGTTATCAATCTTACCATCCAATTGAAACACCTCCAAAACTTTCTTTCACAATTGGCTGGCTTCTTTGATACCATTAAAATCTTCCTATCTCCACACTCCCAAATGAATCAGCCAAACATTGTCTAATTATAGAATTTCATAATTTGCAAAAATTACAATCATTTAATTGTACAAAACCCAGTACCAGATATTCCCAAACCTAGATTGTTATTCCCAACATTTACTATCTTAATTTAAAGAACAGTTGACTAGGAGTGGCAAAATGGGGCTAGCCTAACCCACCCACCCACCCTACCAAAAGCTTGCATAAAAGTGGACTAGCCCAAGCCTGCGCCATTCAAAAAATGGGCCAGATTTTAGAACTCAGGCCGTTTAAGAGTAGGCTAGCTCACCAAAAACTAAAAAAAAAAAAAGGAAGTGAATGAGTCATTAGATTAATGAGCTAGCCCATAAAAAATTAACCAAAAAATATAAAAAGTTACAATAAATAAAAAATATATTTTTATATTAATAAAAATTAATATTTTATGAATATTTAATTATTTTTTATTTTTAAAAAATAAAATTTGGGCCCGACGTTCAACCCATCATTAGCCCATATTTTAGTGGCTAAACTGGGACGGGTTAGGCGAGCTAGTGGATTTATAGCATTCAGCCTGACCTATCAATTTTGGTGAGCTGGGCGGGCTAGTCCATTGAGTCAGACTCATTTTAACACCCCTACAATTGACTCAACACTCACACTAATTACTACTGAAATGTGCTCTTCTTAACTTTTTGTTTTTAACTGAATAACTACAGCAAAATATTAATGAGACTAGAGAAAATATACAAAGCTAAATATCTTAGTCAAATGCTCAACAAAGAAAGAATTACATATACCAAACCATGCAATAGTTTTCAAATGCCATAAAATCTAATCATTTTTTACAATTATCATTTTAAGAGTCATTATTTATTAATGGCATAAGCTACTTCGAAAATGTAATACTTGAAGAAAGTATCACTAAAAGTTGTTTGATACTTATTACTTTCTTTATCGTAGTTTCTTGCATATATCACATTACTCTGTTATTCTTATTACAACTAATGATTCATATGTTATTGTTGCACAATAGAGTTCATGTAAGTAGGCTACATTATATTTTATTGGATTGCCTAGCACCTAGTTTTCTTAGTTAAAGAAGTGATTCAAGATTCTAATTATTTGTTGTCATAAATTATATACCATTTCAGGTATGTAACAAATTATTATCATCAAATTAATCGTTTGTTAGCTCTGTAGCTATGTTAATACATATATTAATTGTTTGAGCAAGTAATTATTCTTAATTATTATATTCTTTTTAAGACGTTAATGCTTGAGAAATGCAAATTAGAACTATGTACATAGTTCTGATTCTTCATTACAAATAAAATTAGTTTTTGTACGTTACTTAGATCTAATTCTCATGTAATAATAACACAATTTATTTATTTTTCATCATATCAGTGGCAAATTAAAACAAAACCAATCGAAAACTTTGATAAACACTTGAGATTTTAAAAATAAAAATTAACAACAATCTCACCATCAAACAAAACATTAATTTGGTGCTAATGAGATATTTCAATAGATCCAATGGATTGAAATAATGATAATCAAAATAAAAGGAACTCAACTAGGGAAATAGAGTTGTAGTTCAATTACTTAAGGTCACATGACAATGAAAATTAAATTAAAGAGAAACACAAACTTAATAAGAGATAAAAAGACTAAATTCTTAAAATTTCTAGAAATGTTGGTCCAAAAATAGGCAACTATGCCAGTAGAAGGACAACTCTATGAAGATGACATTTCTATGTGTGAATATTGAACACGAGCACTAATTTCGCTCTAATTTAGAAGTCCTATCTTAGTGGGAATGACAACGGCAAAAGAGGTTTCAAGTTGGAGGGAAGTACGACGAGAAAAAAAGTCAATCACCGCAATGAGGTTTGGAGTAAAGGGTTGGGAAGAAAATGGATTAGTTTGAAGGCGGAGGGAAGACAAAAGATGGAGACAAAGATCACGACAAATTTTTCAGACACAAGAGTGACGAAAAGATGATTATTTACATGTCAAGGCAAAAAAAATATTTCTTTTCTTTTATTGTTTGAATTGTACTTGTTTTTAAAAGTTTTTTAATGCCACATCTCTAATTAATTTTTTTTATAATTTAAACTTTTAAATTTTTACTTAAATCTATACCATATTTGAAATTTAAGGAGTTTAATCTAATATTAAAAAAAATTAGCTTAAATTTGAGAAAACTATTTTTTTAAAATATTTTAAGCAATTTTAGATTGACAGTTTTATTTATATAACTTTTGATTTGTAGCTAATCCATTGATGTAAGACTTAATATTTCAATATAACATTAAAATTCTCCTTTGAAATAAAAAAAAAATTAACAAAAATTTATAGCTCTTTATAATCTTTGTCATAAAAAAAGGACTTTACATTCGATCGAATGAGTTTTGTATATCAAAATGTAGTAAAACAAAAAGCATCGGGAGATAAAACAGACAAAAATTTACATTGACTACTAAGCACTAATCCAGTGGCCCACAAAGTAGACTCTCTAGCTAGTCTACTAATAGGAGACGTAGATCTTCGTAGCTCATGCCATATTCCTTTGATCCACCCACAGGAGGTTCCTCGGTTATTTGTTTCCTCTTCTCCTGCAATGCCAATATTTTCTCTTCAATGCTGTTTTTAGCTATGAGTCTAAAAACTTTCACAGGCTCTTTCTGACCGATGCGGTGGAGACGATCCATTGCTTGTTCCTCAACTGCATGGTTCCACCATGGCTCCATAAAGTAGACTCTAGAGGCAGCTGTGAGATTTATACCTGCACTTGAAGCCCTTAGGCTTGCCAGCAGAACCACTGGCCTATCTCCTCCTTGGACTTGAAACTGCTCAATGACACGAGCCCTGTGTTTCGCATTCATTGTTCCATTAAGATGCATAGTCTTGAAACCTGCTGCATTCAGAGGCTTTTCCAGCAACAACAACATCTTCCGAAATTGCGAAAATACAACTGACTTTACTGCAGGATTTTGTTCTCTTGATTCAGTGAGAAGTTTTATCAGAGCTGATGCTTTGGGAGATAACCTTGATCCTGATGAGCATAGTTCAGTGCTATCTGAATTGAAAGATTCAGGAGGGGCTGAGAACAACTTGGATTCTGAGAGGGGTCGCCGACAAAGAGGACAAGGGGCTTTGCTTCGCTCCATAATTTTCAGAATACATTGTCGGCAGAAAATGTGAGCACAGCTTGTGATTACAATATCCGTTGGAGGAGATATACAAATTGGACACTCAAGATCTTCACCATTTTGCAGCAACCCAAGTAATGTTTGCAGTAATTCAGGGTTATTGGAAACTTCTGCTTGCAAATGAATTATGTGCAATCAGTAGAATAATAACTTTATGCTATACAAATTTATAATACACAGCCTCAATACAAGTTTAATAGTAAGTTTCACTCAGTAGTATAACACAAATCCATATTTTGTTTAGTGACATATACTTGGTTAAATATCACTTTGCTAGTATCAGGCCCAGTGGCAGGGATCTTTTTGCAAGTTGTCAAAGAAAAATTCCTACCTTCCTATCTGTTAGCATAATATGAAAATTCCTAACATTTTAATTTGAAAGCATCAGCATCAGCATTATAATTCTAAGCTTGTATGACACGATTTTCTGGATTGTCATACAATCTTATCACTGTTCCATCCAAAAATATATATATATCAATTTACTGATCATAAATAAAGAATATTGATTAACTATACCTGTTTGTTATTGTTGGTAAAAATTCATTTGAAATCAAATGATAAAAACATCTTAAAAACACAGTACTTTTAAACTATACACATCCAGAAGCATGGAACTAAAGAAGGAAGCCCGAGAAACCGAATTGGACCCAGGTAAACAAACTATTAAGTAACTATATACATGAATCTGATACAAAGGGCAAGAATATACCTTCAATATTAAACGAAGGGAGCACTGACTTGTGATTTAAAGGCAACAATTCCGAATCAGTACAGATTTGGCGAAGCAGTAGTAGACAACCTAGTAAAGCAGAATAATGGGTCATTATAGTTTTGTGAGGGTCATAATTCAACAGTGGCTTTGCTTGCTCTTTAATTTGATCATACAGTTCACGATCTACCGAAGAAAGTTCAACATAACAAATATCTACGGTTTTAGGTGGCAGCCCTGCCAAACCCTTTTCTTTTGTTCTTCGCAATGCAATTGCACCCATCAAAATCTACAAAATAACCACGGAAAACCATACAAATAAGCTTCTAAGACAGAAAAACACATAAGAAAAGTGGCAACCTTTTGATAACACTATGAATAAAACTACCTAACACATTATGATACCTGCAAACGCGAGAGTCCATTGTCCCTGCCCTTATTAATAGGGCGTTGCACAAAGTCTCTCCAACTACTTCTGACCGAAAATGGTTCGAACCTTAGAAAAACCATTAGAGAAAACAGATCAATGCAACCATTTAGAATCGGTGTCCCAGTAACAGCCCACCTGTATTGAGCATTCATCCTGCAAACTGCTGAAGTCTGTTTAGTAGTGAAATCCTTGATATGGTGAGCTTCATCCAACACAATCCTCTTCCATTGCATTTTCTTCGCCGGCATTTCATCATTTTGACGTTCAATAGACAAAGTAGAGTAAGTACTCAACACCAAATCATATTTCTTAAGCTCCTCGACATCCTTGGTCCTTCTTTCCCCATAATACATATAAGTCTTCAATGCACCACGAAAAGTGTGCTCCTCTAACTGCTGTATCCACGTTGACATAACAGAAGGAGGACACACCACTAACGTTGCCTTCGTTTTCACGCCACCAGAAATAAACCTATGAATATCACGCTCGCGCTGTGAAGCACCCACCACGTAGCTGCTTCTTTTCTTTTTGGGGATACCCGTTTCGTTCCTTTTATCATACGCAATCAAAGAAAGCAAAGTTAGAGTCTTTCCCAAACCCATCTCATCAGCGAAAATGCCACCGCGAAGGGGCTCTGGTCTTTTACACGTCTGGTAATCGGTTAACACGTTGACGAAGGTGCCGTCTCTTTCTTCCCAAAACGGCGGCAACTCGGTGGTATTTTCGCGGCGAACGAGCCACGCAAGGGCTTCCTTCTGGTGTGGGAGAAGCTGGGATTTGATGATGCGGGAGGGAGGGTCCAAGGTTTCGGCGACGGTGGTCTTGGAGGCGAGGTTGTCTTGAACGACTTTAAAGATGGCATCGATGGACTTGTACATTTGGTTGGATTTCGTTTCTTTAACGGCGACGGACTCGGAGAGGGTGAAGGCGGGGTTGGAGGGGCTGATGAGTTGGAGGTCAGCCGCATAAAGGGTAACTCTGACGGCATTAAAGTTGTGGGGTTCAGCGAAGATGTGGATTTGGGCTGGGATGTGGAAGTTGCGGGAGCGCATGGATGGGAGGATGGCTTCAACGGTGATGAGTTCGGCGTCGATGAGGGGGGAAATGACGGCGGAGACGGAGCGTTCGATGTAGCCGATGCGGAGGCGTTGGATGTTCAAGACTTGGATGGCGTTGGGATCGTATTGATTGAGGGGTTCGCGGATGAGGCCCACCATTTGCCGGCCGCCGACGAGCGCGACGGGGTAGTGTTTGAGGCCCACTATGTTGGCGTTGATGAAGCCCATCAAGAATTTCTCTTCTATCTCTGAATCCATTCTTGGTCTCTCAGAAGGACACTGCAAATGGAGGCTCCTTAAGTGTCTGTTATCTTTTGAATTCAATTTCAAACCTCTCTCTCAAGGCGGGCATCGCCATTTACCTACTCCCAAACTTCTAAGCGCGTGCGTCTCCACGTGCCTTTCTGCCTTCTAGGATTTTTATTTTTTTATTTAATTGAAGGGAAAATTAATTTTATCATTTTATGTTTCGATTAATAGAAAAAATGAAAAATAATTGAACAAAGAATGAGATAAAAAATTTATAAATTCTTTCTCATTTTGGAAGACATTTTTTATTTTTTAAATCAAACAAAAAATGTGTTTTATTTTATTTTTTCTTCTTTTCAAGCATATAAGAGAAAGAACATATGAAAGTTAATATTATGGTCTTTGTACTTTTTTTTTCTTTATTAGGTTTACTTTGCTTAAAATATCACATGCATGATAAGAAAATATATATGAATATGGTATTATTTTATTTGATTAAAAAATATTTTTATATTTAGATTAATAGAAAGAAAATGAAAGAAGAGAGGAGAAAAGAAATTATGTTTTTGTTTTTGAAAGCTTTTTTAAATTGAAGAAAAGTATATCATTATTCATATTTTTATTTAATTTTTCCTTTCAACTAAGCAAAATACAAGAGAAAATGAAGAGTATGGTTAAGTTTTGGGGGGGGGGGGGGGGGAATTATTTATTTTTTATTCAAATTTTTAACTTTTCCCCCTCACTTCATTTATTTTCACAGAATCAAATATGGGATGGGCACGACACCCTTGAAAGCAAAGGTAGGAGTGTTCTTCCATTTCTCATCTTATATTCCATTTTTTTAATTTATTTCCATCTTCAATTCTTGTTTTCATTTCTTTTTACGTCCTATTCTTCTTCTCCATAAGTCCCTTTGAAAATCCTAATACTTGTATTACAATTTGGCAACATTAGTAGGTTTTTTAAGTTTCTTTTTCTTTTGTACATTTGTTTTAAAGTTGTTCTTAATGGAAATGAATTCGTGTAAAAAGTTAAACGTGTAATGTTATTGTATAAACATATTTGCGATCCATAGATGATAGATTCGCATCCCAACTCAAAGTGTGGCTAGCAAGTTATTATAACAAAACACTTCTTTTTAATATACTTACAGACTTGTTTGACTAAAATATTGATATTTAATTAAAAAAAAATTTACACTCCGTCAACCATGTAAAGTAGAATGAGAAAGAGGAAAAAAAAAAAGATACAATGAATGTAATAGAACAAAAAAAAATATAAAAAAGTAGGTGAAAATGAGATATAAGAAAAAAAATGTAAAAATATTACTATTCTATTATAAATTAGCATATATTACTTATAGATTTTCCTAGATGTTATTTAAACAAACATTTGAGTTTTATTATCTTCAATACTTTAATAAAGTTTTTCATTTACCACTCTATTTAACATTATATTATTTATTTCAACGATTTTTCTCCTTTTTTTTCTTTATTATTGTTTATAATTATCAACTAATTTTAAAATTATAAAAAAATATTTTTTATTAACTAAAACATATTATAATAAAAAATTAAAATTTTAAGATTTATTTAAAATTTTATAGTAATTGTAAATATATTTAATATAATTAACTTATTTTTTATCTTTTTGACTCATTTAAATTATAGATAAGCAGAGAGTTTTTTTTTTATTATTAATCTAAATACCATATTTCTTTCCACCCTATTCTTACTTTATTTTTTTATTCTCTCATTTCCTTTTAATTTATTTTATTTTTTCTCTAGTTTACCCTTGATCCAAATAAAACATTCAACGTTTAATTGACATTTTAACTTTCAACGTAATGTAGCCTAAATGCATTTTTAAATATCAGTTCAAAGTAATTTTCAGGTTGTGTTTATTTTGAGCTAACTCTTACTTGATATGTAATCAAAATTATGGATGATATTTAGGATTTAAAAAGCATAAAAAATGGTATACTACAATCGATGTTAATAATCATAATATATCAATGAAAAAACTTTACATATATATTTTCTTAACTTTTACCAATGAATCTGAGCTAATTTCATTTTGGACTCTTCCCAGAATTGTTCCAAAACTACACTTAATGGGCTCGATCTAACATCATGGACTAGCCCAACAATCTCGTGCTATTTCCATTCACTAAGAGATCACCAATGTTAAGAAAAGTTCTCTTAATTTTTTAGAGATTCAATATTTTTTTATAGAGAAGCATGTGATGTTAAATCTTGTCTTTAGTTATAGTTTTGATGTGTTTGATTTTCAAGATTGTTAAATTGTATTTAAATTTAAGTATGTATGTTTGATTTTATTTTTTTCTATTTGTTGTGCACTGTTGAATAATTTTCTAATTTAACATTGTTGTCTTTGTAAGTGCTTTTTAATCAATGATATCTGGACAAAAGAAAAAAAAAAGGACAAATAAGATTTCCTGACCTGAAAAAAAAATAGTATACGCATACTAAAGTATAAATTGTCTCGTCTTGGGTTTGCTTTTATCATCCCTTTTTTTCTACACCACCATAATTTTTTATTCTAAAAAACATTTAAATTAAATTAATTTTTAAATTTATATTTTCAAATAAGTTTCCAAAATAATATTTTTTTTGGAAAAGATTCCAAAATAATATTTTACACTTTCAGAAATTGATAATTGATTTATGAAATTATCAACCATTTTTTTAAAATAAGTTTCCAGAATTAAGGTTTTATATTTTCATAAATAAGTTTCTAGAATTCAAATTTTATGAAACTTGTTTTTAAAATGTGTTTTTCATAGTTTTTAAAATTATTAACTATTTCTATAAATAAGTTTCCAGAATTGACATTTAACTCTTTTAGAAATAATTTTTAAAAATTAGTTTTTTAACTTTCAAAAATTAATCTATGAAGTTATTAACTATTTCTGAAAATAAGTTTTTAAGATCACGATTTTACATTTCCAAAATTTGTTTTTCAAATTATTTTTTGTATTTTTAGAAATTAATTTATGAAATTATTAACTAATTTTAAAATCAAGATTTTGTACTTTTGAAAATTAATAAAGATTTATATTTTAATAAATAAATTTTCAGAATTAGGATTTATACTTTTAGAAATTAGTTTTTAAAATTAATTTTTAAGCTTTTAAAAATTAAGATAATGAATTCAATCAACTTAAATGTATGCGAGTATACATGTATGTATGTACGCAAATACATGCATATGTCAAATGTTTGAAATTTGATTACTCAAATAAAAATGGTTTCAATTATAAAAATTAACATAAATGAAATATAATATTTTTAGAAAAATAAAAAATAATATAAATACATAATAAATAAAATTTATAAAATATACTAAATGATTCAAAAATAAACATAGAAATTTCAAATGAAATAAATTAAAAAAACACAGTACACCGGAATAAAAAGAACTAACTAATGACAGAATGTCATTAGAATCTTGGAAGACCATCACAATTTTTTTTATTTGCCCATCCTCTCTCACACTTTCTCACGCTTGTGTACTCTGCACCCACTGTTGGCAAGATGTTTTACACTCATGATTTTCTTAGGCTTCTTTCTTTGCTGACCTTCGTTGGAGGGAAAGACACTTATTTTTTCAGTTTACATCTTGGTTACTAGGCTTCTGCTTCTTTCCCTCTCATGATTTTCTCACACTTTTTGAGATTTGTTGAAATGTAATTTTGTGATTTTTATTATGTTTAAAGTCCACATCATCCAAACACTCTTAGAAATCATAAGTGATATTCTTGAATTAAAATTATCCAAAATGTGTTCATGATTTATTTAGTTTAATAAATATGAATAGTGTATTTTATATAGAAACTAAAAGAGAAAAAGAGCTTAACCTCTTGAGCATGGAAATCAACGTTTAAAAAGTGAGAAACATTGGCCAAAATTTATTAAAATTAAAAAAATATATATGAAATGAAACATTAATTTAAATTGAGACTACACTAAAGTCGTTAAGTTATTGTTGCAGCAAAATATCGTTGTATAAGCAGTAACAACTACAAAATTATCGATTAAAGATCAGCAGAACTACACATTGTATTAGATTAGGTTCTAAATTCAAATTTGTCCCAAACTTGAATCAAAGTCATTAATTATTACATTTGAAACCACTTTTTTTTTTCACCTACATTTAGATTCAATGAACAAGGTACACATTTTGCTCTTTTATTTTTTTTTATTCATTTTTGGAATGGTTGAGATAAAATGTGTTAGTATTTATTTTTATTTTTATTTTTGTAATTATTATTTTAGAAACCTTACATCAAGTTTGCGTGTGGGTTTGATGGGAACTTCATCCATAAGTTTAATAGTCACAAAAATGATAATAAAAGGCTAGATATAAGAAATGGTTACTTTTCTTTTATTTGATTAATGATAACACAGTTATTTCTTCTTGCAAGATTGTTGAGAGTATAAGTGTACCCATCAAAAAATAAAAACAGGTTATTAAATTAAGTTTATGAAATATCGTCCCACAAAGATTAATTTTTAATTACTAAGAATTTTTTAATTCAATTGTTTGAATTTTAAAGATACAAGATTAATCAAAACAAGAGTTTATAAAATCAATTTTAAAAACTAGAATAAAGAACACAATGCACATCTTGGTTGAACTTATCGAAGAGAAATCTAGGACATATGTATTGTCTCATTCAATCCTTTATGTTATTTTTCTATTTAACTCTAAATTCGATTTTCTTGTGATTATTAATCATTCATATGAATACTATTAATATCCAATGGTCATGCAATATTAATATTTTTTTCTCTAAATTAACATCATCAATAGTCATGTAAGACATCAATTTAAGAAAGCTTAAAAAACTTATGAACTTGTTAATTTAATAATGATTGGAAGAGAAAGATTAGTTTGGTCTACCTAATCTTTTGTCTTATTTTATCCTATAGATCTATTAACTAATCGAGGTACAGTTGCTTAACGATATAATTAATTAGGATTAAGAAGGAAGCATAATAGGATAAAATCTAATCACGAAACAAAAATCAAATTTAGATTCAAACATCAAAATTTCATAAATTTATGAATAATAGTTCCCATAACCCTAGTTATGGACTTAGTTACTCATGTTAAAGGAAAGAATTAAAACAATTATAAACAAAGTTATAATCAAAAGAAATAACAAATTAGAGTGTAAGATGAGTTCCCAATCTTCAAGTATGATTGCTCAAACCTCTGAGTCGTGCTAAAAGTATGCTAAGGATCCTATGCAAGAGAGACAAGATGAGAAGTATATCGGAAAGTCAAAGATAAGATGTAAAACGGTCTTCGCTGGATGCCTAAGGTTTCTCTTTTATAGGGTTTGAAAACCCTAAAAGCTCTTTATAATTGAGCTTTTCATAAATGAGCACAGTCGTGCAAGGTCTTAAGCATGACCGTGCATGGGCTCGAAACATCCTCATGCTTGTTGAAAGAGTTTGGCCGTGCTGATTACTGTGAGGTTCTAATTTTCCATCAATTTAGGCTCAAAACACACCCAAAATCTACTTGTAGCTTCTTTATATTAAACTACACAATTAACATAAAAATTAATGTAAAACTCAAATAAAATAAATATCAAATATAAATATATGGGTTATAAAAGATAGTGTAAATACAAACTTATCAAAGATCAAATAAAATATGAAAATAAAGAATGAGAGTTTGGTTGTATTTAAGTTTAGGAATAAAGTTAGTTCTAAGTTTGTGGCTTGTAACATAATTAATAATAGTAGAATAAAAAAATCGAATGTATAAGGTTAAACTAATAATTATATTCAGGTGTTTGGTTGTTGATTTGTTTTCTTTTCTTCACTTACATGAACAAGTTATTTGTTTGTTAAGAATTAATTATATCCAATAAAGTGATTGTTTGGTTAGATGTATTGAATATAATACATTTAAATAAATATTGCACCAGTAAATATAAGTTTGAACATGTATATATTCTCTTAAATATTTTAACTATTACCCCTTCTACCTTGAAATCCTTTTCTTTAATTAACGATTCTACATTATTATTTTATTTTTCTAAGATAGAATTGAAATAAATATCATTAAAATATGATATTTTCTTAAATTTTTATATTTTAAAATTAAAATAGTATTAGAAAAAAACTTTATAATTGTGATAAAATCACGTGAATTTTTTATATTTTTATAAAATCAAACACTTGAATTCCTCATATTTTTATGTAAATAAATTGTGTCCATTTTAAAGTTAAATTTTAAATGAATAGCTTCAAATTTTCTTCTGTCTTTGTTTTTATTTAATTTACTTTAATTCACAAAATAATTTATAATAACAATATATAATTTATTTTTATCATTTATAAGTTATAAAATTATAAAAGTATTAATTTAATTACATTATATAATAGTTGATACAATGTGAATTATTTTTATTTTATTTAAAAAGTAAACATTTTCAATTTTATTATTTTAAAATAAATTATTAAAATTCTTTTACTAATAATATATATATTACTCTATCGTTCACACGTTAAAAAATTAAACACATAAATTTTTTTTCTATTTTATGATAAAATAAATAATCAAATTTTATTTTAAAATAAAATTTAAATGATATTAGTTAATTATAATTTTTTTAATGTTTGTTTTTGAAATAAAATAAATAAATAAATTTTTATTTTTTATTTACAACATAATTTATAATGATGTATAAATTAATCTATTATTTATATGTCATAAAATTGTAAAAATACTACTTTAGTTACACTAACTAACTAGTATCTTCTACACTTAAATCATTCTAAATTTATTTTTATTTCAAAATACCATGTTTAACTTTTAGAAAAATTAAAAATATTTTTTTAATTTTTTAATTCAAATTTTATTTTATTGTTCTTCAATTAAGATTATTCTTCTATTTTTCGGCTTTTATATTAAACTTGAGATGCGATAAAAGATGGGATGTAAATATTTTGAGGTAACGTTCGTCCGTCAGAAATTTCTCCATTATGTGTACCGTGTGTACGTGCACTGGGTGTCTTATCTGCAAGAGAAAGGAAACCAGTGAAAAAATATATGCATGTAGTAAGATGGACTAGCATGAGTTAACCAAAGATAAACTAAAGCTTTTTACGAGTAATAAAGTATTATGAACAACATACGATTCATCCGAAACTCATTGAAATTTTGATTTATTCACTCTAATTGTCTACATCTTATCCTTTTCGGGACATGATATTTACTCTAATAATTTTCATATATATATATATTATTGATTTTTAATATAATATTTAATCTTGCAGACAAAGTATAGTTTTGAATAATTATAAAATTAATTAATAAACTAAAACTTGCTCTTAAAGAGTAACTACCCTGCTTCCAACATAGAGATACAACAATTTGATGAATCTGGACTAACAGGATGAACTCCAAGTGAGGGAACGATTGTTCAAAGAATAACTACATTCGATGGGCTCCATCTGACATCATGGAGTAGCCCAACATCCTCATGGTATTTCCATTATGCCCCCTACACCTATCCTCCTCTCGCTGATCAAAATAAATGTCAGTTTTTGCGCAAGTGCAATGACAACAAAGAAAGAACATAATTGTTCCCTGTTTAAGGGACCATTAATATTATATAGAGTGCCCAAGCACAAGTTGTTGAACTAACAGGCCTATGGCTAATTGGCTAATGGCTATGCCCATTTTAATGGTGTTCATTTCTCATACTTCGCTTTAACCTGCCCGGACCATCCTATCTCTAGTTACTAATACACTTCGGTCGCTTATCCACTTATGCGTAAACCTTAATCTACGGAACAAAAATTTCTGTTTATCATAAAAATCTGTGAAATGTTTTATTAATTATTAATTATCATAAAAAAACTAGCACATATAATTTATATACAATTTTCAAGAAAGAAAAAGTAACTCAAAACTAGTAGGGACAAAAGTGTTCATGGAAGCTCGTCTACTTACAATTTGAATTGGGTGATTTTTTAATAGTTTAACAGATCAGCCTATTTAAGTTAATAATATAATAATAGACTTATAATAATTATATAATCATTATTTGAGTAAATTTATACCTATAATATTTTGAAAATCATATACTTGTTAAATTATTCAAAGATGTAAAATTAATAGCTTACATATAAATTTATCCATTAGTATTTAAAACTATTTGTTACGTTATTCATAATATCTTATTATTAAATATACTTTTAAAAGAGTCAAGACGAATTTTAAAAATATGCCTATATAGTTAAATAGGTTTAATTCAAACTTCAGATTTGAAAAGCTGGTCAGATTTTAGACAAAAATCTAACCTCAGAAAACATTTATTCAAAGAAATGTATACCAAGTAAAAAATAGAATAGATAGAGAATATATATATATATATATATATATATATATATATATATATATATATATATGGATATGATTCATTAATACTTATACCAAATTTCAATCATATAAATTAGTTAAAATATATAAAAAAAATTAAAAATTATTATTTGATTTATATGGTTAAAATTTAATGTAAGTCTTTGTCAATAGATTTTATATATATACGATAAGTAATATAATATGGTAGATAAAAAAATAAAAAAAAAATAAAGATACAAGTGTATAAAATCCAAAACTCATGAAAAAAGGGCAAAAAAGCCATTTTTATTCTTTATTTGGTACATTTGATGCAATGCAAATCGATTTTTGTATCCAGATTCCGTAATAAAATTCAAATACTAGAGTATAAAATGTGTAAGAATCTGACATCTCTACAGTTTTACTTTTTCTCAAATTTTAATTTGAACATTTTATTATCATATTAGATACGATTTTTGTTGAATTTTTCTAAAACATTACTACTGTTGTTGTTATTCTAATATAATATATATTTTTTTGGCATCATTAAAATGATTGTAAGATTAAACATTTTTATTAATTCTTTAGCAAAGAAAAATATATTTTTACTTTCAAAAGGACTGAAAAAAAAATGATATATGATGTTTACAATTTAATTATTTGAACATAAAAAAATTCACACCATATATGTCATTATTATATTTGTCAATTTTATCTTATTTTATACGTGTATCTTAATTATCTTTTTTCACACGTCTCTTAAAAATACATCTCAAAATTAAAAGAAAGAACATTTATTATTCCATTTTAATATTCACAAAACCTTTTCCTTATGTTTAATGAGAAAGAGATCAGTATTATAGAAAGCTCACTCGTGCAATGATTGCTATGTACAAGGCGAACAAACTTTCCGCAGTACTTATTATTAAACCATTGTCTTAAAAAGAATGGCTAAGTTTCATCGCAAGTAATAATGTTATTACAGTACTTAAACCTTTGTCCAGAACAGAATGACAAACTTTCGTTACTAATCATGTTTTCACTGACAAAGTTTCGTTGCAAGATACTAACCCCAGATTCTTTCAAGTTTCAACCTTTAATGGCTATGGTTTCATGAGTCCATGTATGAGTAACTCAAATTCTATAATGTTTCTATTATGGAATATTCGAGATCAGCACATTGATTTATTAATGGCCAACTCACAAGCTAGTAAAGGTTTATGTGACTCTTTTTTCTTGATGATTCTTTGACTTTTTATTGAGCTCAGTGTCATGTTTGATTCATGAAGTTGATCTAGTGGAATAAGGCTTTCTTGTTGTTATAATAATAGTTCCTTCATTATTGGTATTAAATTCAAGGGGTTACTTACTCTGTGTTATTCAAGAATTAAGGAGTTGATATAAATTACGATAAATTAAGCATATTATAAAATTGTAACTTTATTTAGGATGAGGAACTGAAACAGTCGTTGATTCTTCTAAGCTGCTTCAACGACAAGAAAATACAAGATGGAATCATGGGACATATGATTCTTATGATTAATAGCCTAATACTATTGAACTAGCATTATGTATGACATAACACCATGTAGTACCACCAGGAAACAGGAAAAGTTAAAATTAGAAAATCTTTGTTGTTGTTGTTGTTGTTGATGGCAGTTGTGGGTCACTGGAGGTTCAAATTCCTCATCCTACAAATGAAAGTAAAGGAAAACAAAATATTAAAATCAGGTAGATCAAATAAAAATGTTGATTTCAGAGTTAGAAGGTACAATACAATTAACTACAGCAAAATCAACTTCTGTCTTCTAGTTGAAAGATTATTTTTGGAAAACTTTGATGGGTATTATGCATAGAATAGATATGAATAGGCAATTCAGAGATAGCGGCATTGTTTGATAAGAAACATGTTGGAATATGAAAATATAAAGGGGCCTTAGATTATGAATGATACCTTTTCTCCTCCTCAGACCCTGCAGTTTTCTTGTAATTAGGGAATGGCACTTGCCCTGACTCAATATGCTTAACATCCTGAACAAGGAGTTCATAGTGCCTCTTCACTTCCTCGGGTGTTTTCCCACCAACAGCATGAGCAACATTGTACCAACGGTCAGGGGTGTCCTTGTCATAAACAGCTAGAGCCTTTTCAAAGGCTTTGTTGTCCTTAACACTCCATGAGCCAGAGGCTGACATTGAGGTGGATGCCATTTCTTAAGAGCGGTTAGAATTAGTTGTTGTGCTTTGAGAATCACTATAGAGAATGGTCTAAGGTTTTCAAAGGAAAAAGTGAAGTTGTAGCTCTTAAGAATGGCAAAGGGTGTTATTAAGATTGAAGAGTGTCTAAAGATCAGACTCAAAGGAAGAGCTGATGTGCTGAGAGGTAGCAGTGCCTGCTCCTTTTATAAGCAGAAGACGAAGGTATGAGGTGGGGTAGTGCCAGTTGGCATCAAAATCTTGCCAAAATGAAGTAGAATTATTATGATTTGTCTCCTTAGGAACCACGGAATTGAGCAGGCCCAAGAAGCTGAGCAGCAGCAATGTGGGAGAATCGGTATCTTCATACAGTAAAACTACGTGTCTGTACTAATAAGACTTGCCAAAAGTTTTTTAGAACCTTTTACTTTTTCATTTTTTTCTGTTTTCCTCTTACCCTTCCGCTACTCTTGTTTGATATACATCATATAAAGTGAAAAGTTTTATTTTCTTAAGTTTGAAGTTTGTAGATTTAAGAGCTAATGAAAACTCATTACTTGATAAACTGTTGAACAAAATATGACCTGTAAACTAGTTTGGTAGATTGAAATTGCTTTTCGTTTTAGGAAATGGACACAGTCAACCTCTTGGTTTTAGACAGGTTGTGGTTCAAAACATAAGAACGTATACAGAAAACACTATCTGCTGGGTCAGCTAATGCCTATCTTTATTTTATTCTCTTACTTGCAGGGTCTTCAGTGGGTCCAAGCTCAAATCCACTGAATCCAAAGCAGGTACAAAAGGGAAATAAACTATGTGAGATAGGTGCATAATTTGGACCACTTAGAAAAAGTTAAAGTGGGACCAAGTGTTATCCAACGGCTTGCATGTATGTGAGGACTATGTGAGTGTAAGTCTGTGCATGTATTATTAATCGGTGTAAAATCTTCCACGCATGCAGCAAACAATCGCAATATCTTGTTCAAAACATTTCGATTGCATATGAAAGCTCTTGTGTTTTCATCCTTGGTGGTGGTGATCTTGTATCTGTACTTTGTCCTGAACAACATTCCAACACTCTTGCTGGCCAGTTGTGTTCGTGCAATTATTGTTGTTTGTTTTCTTTTTACTCAGAGGAAAGGTTAAATAGGTTCCTCACTACTCTTTTAGCTGTTGGGACCCTCTTTCCCCTTCCATGATTCTTGGCTTATGATAATAAACAGATAAAGATTTTGCTTTGATCTAATTTACTTAGATGGCCAAAATAAAAATGTAGGTTATGATGTACCGAAAAAATTAACTCAAGCAAGTGAATCCATCTTCCATCCACACAACCTCGAGTGTGTTTGGATTCACGTTTAAATGTGTTTAGAAACGCATTAGAAAACATATAAATGTGGATTCAACGCACAAGTTATGACTCGTAACGTTGAAGTAAATGTGATCCATGACCATGTAAATGTGAAACGAAACACACACTATATAGTTATTGATTTACATTTATTTCACCATTACTAGTTGTAACTTCTCTTATGGATTTATGTATTTTCATTGGGAATCTAAACACGCACTACATAAGCGGCAGTTTAAGCATTGTGTCTTTTGATTTTGTAAGAGCCATGCCAAAAATAACCTTGGAGCATGGGCATGGGCATGTCATTTTATGCACCATCCATTATAGGTAATCTGAAAATCATGTCACGTGCAAGTGGTCAAATAATTCAAATTATTACAACATTTATAGGAAACTGCATGTGAGGTAGACAAGAGGAAGCAATTTGATAAGGGAATAGCTGATAATACTTTATTACTCTTCTATTGTTCTTATGTCGAAAACAGTTTCAAGGAGTACATTAGATACCAACAAAAGTAGTACTGCTATACATGTATAGAAAACATCCTCCATGATATTTTGCTTTGTCTTTTGCTGTTACCTCATGCCAGGGCCATGAAGCAGAACCATAGCTTCACTTCAGGGATTGCCCACTGACAATTAAGAGCCAATTGTAGTATAGGGATAAATTATCTTTAGCTTCTAAGTTGTGTCAAGCCTCATCAAAACCGGATACACTTGTGGAATTTTACCCTTTAAGGGTTAACACGTGGGTTGAGTCTAGCTGGCCTTCATTCGTTTGGCTTTTATACCTGAAAGTATGGAGCATCCATAATCATATTTTCTTAACTCATATAAGGTTGATCATGGACAGACAATATGGTGACAGAAACCATCATTAGCCTTATTTCTAAAAGTGGTTATAACTCTGCAATGTCAGGATGACCAAACTAGAAGCTTGTTCTTGAAAGGCTAATTTGTGTACCATGATGCTAAATTTAATTTATTGCAGCCAATCTTTCTCTCTTGAATTTTACAAATTAATTGTTGTGTTAATTTAATTATTTTACTATAGCCTTATGGGCTGTACGTACTTATCATATTTTCTCAATTTCTTAATAACAAGATGCCATTACTTTTTCCTGTTGGAATTGCTGGTTTTCAATTTCGTGAATTGGCCATTTTATTATTATTATTACTGTTATCATCATCGTCACTTCTCTATTTGTTATTTTTCTAGTCCATAGACTTGGGGAAGACAGAGAATCATAAACATTCTACACCACAAGCCGTTGAGTGTGATAAGTGCAATGAATGTGTTCAGTAACATTCTACACCACGAGCTGTTGAGCATGTTTCATTTAGGTTTATTATTGGTTTAATAAAAAAAAAATATAGCTTAATTTCCATCATGAATTGAAACATTGAATTTTAGTGAAAGTAGCGTTCATTTATTTAAAATTTTAATAAAATTAATTTTAATTTATTAAGCATAATTAAATATTTTTTTTAAAAAAAAACTCTATCATCCATGATAGTTGAACTCATTCAAACAAAATTATCTTCAATTAAAAATACACTTCCAAATAAATTTTGATCACATCTTTTTTTCATTAAAACATCTATCATAACATGCAAAATTAGTCCTAATTGTATTCGAAACGGAGCTTTAATGTCTGTTAAAACTTTGGAATTTGGAATAACGCTAAAAGCTTAGAAAAGCATCATATAGTTCAGAGGTCGGTGTAGCGATACCATGGCTACACGTATCAACTTGGTTTAGACTGCCCCCGCCCTATGGAATTATTTTGTTTGCAATATCTTGCAAGTAGGCTTAGGCTTCAGTGTAGTATATTCCTCAAGAACCCAAAACCATTGCTTAATATGTAGGAATGCCCAGCAATAATGGTTTATATAAGAAATTCGTACTTAACTTTATATAGCTCATAATTTCTTCAAGATCTCTACGATGCTGTAATGATAAGGATTGATACACGCTGAAAAGGATAAGACATGTATGCTTCCATGTCTTTTAGGTGTAATTGGGACATCCTTTGATATTTCGTACAAGTAAATGTGATTCACATATATATCTCAATTCCTTAGAGACATGTATTAACTAGGTTCAATTTTGGTTTATGTTTAATGGTGTACATTCTTGTAACGATACCCTTCATTTTGACAAACCTTATGGGTGCAAAATAGGATTGTAAAAGTTGAAAATTTATAAATGAAAATCGTTAAGTATGAGGTTTGTAACAGGTTTAATTTAAAACTTGAATGTAGTCTCACTGTCAAGTTGCATCAAGCATGGTCACTATGGATCCGAGCCACAAAGATCGGTAATGAGGTTAGCGTGATCATTGGCTTAAAATTACTCCATTCAAAGAATCTTTGAGAAAAAGAGATGGTTGAAGATCTGCCTCATCATCAATTAATATAGAATCCTTATCACCCATTCTATCTATAGTACACTGTAACATAAGGACATTTCTACCATTACTAGACGATTCCTTGCTCAGTGGTCCTTCGTTCGGTCGATTTAATTGTTCCCCTGCTAATCAACTTTTTAATTGAATTGGGTTCAATAAATTAACTTAAGAACTAAACTTTTTTTTTTTATTCAATTCAATACGTTATTTGCCGCAGGTTAGATAGGTTAGTACAAGAATTTACTGTTCTTTAGTTTTTTTTTTTTTTAATTACTCCATCTTTAAATTAATAATATAATATATTTAACCGGTATATTATATATATATATATATATATATATATATATATGTATAATTTTTTTTTTGTTTTTGCATTCTAGTGTTATTACCATGCATGCAGTTTGTGCTCTCTTTTGTAATATTACGTGTAAATATTTAATATATTTATAACTTGATGAAGCTTACCGATATGATATACCATTAAACTTTTTTAATTATTTTTTTTTCACAGGAAAATATAAAAAAATTAGGCTGAATAATTGAGTGTCCAAAACATAATAATAATAATAATAATAATAATAATAATAATAATAATAAATGTGCTAGCAAGCTGACCCAGCATATTACAAGCTTAACTCACATGCGGGAAGTTTACTTTCCAGCAAGGTTATTGGAATAAATTTAATTGGAATTGAATTTTTGGAATCAAACTCACAACATATCATATATCGGCCTATCCCATCCACTTGAAATTATATAAAATATTAAAATAAAAATTAAAAATCAAAATATTTAAATTATAAAAAAAATATACGTAATTAATTCATTAAAAAATTTAAAATATAAATAATAAGAAATATGTCTAAAATCATATTAAAAATATATGCATAATTTATTTAAAAGAATTTAAGTTTAAAATATAAAGAAAAGAAGTTAAGGACGACATATGTAATTCCCTGTGAAATAGTATGCTAAGAAATTAAGTTACTTTTAGAACAATGTAATTTAATTTCATGTATAAAAAAGAAATTTACTTCAAAATATCTAATACTTGATATAACTAATATAAGTATATGGTTGTCTAGAAAATTTGATATTTGAGTAAAAAACAAATCTTAATATAAAACAACTAGTGATTTAAAAAAAAAAAAATGCTGAATAATAGTAAAACGAAGATGTGCTTAGTTCCAATAATGAGCAATCAAGTTTATAGCATAGGGAAAAAACGAGGAAGTCCTGACTGAATTAGGAGCATATAACTTTGAAGATTTACAAACAAGAGAACAAGAAGAAATGCTGTTTTAAATGAAGAAACTAGCCATGAGTTTTGATCGATGAGATAGAACATGTAAAGTAATTGTCTCATTCTTAAAATTTGAGATTCTAAAA